TAAGTGGTGTTTTGGGAGTACTCAAATGGTGTTTTGAGGTTATTCAAAGGTGTTTTTGAAGGTGTTAAATGATGTGGCAAGAGTACTTATGAAGGTGTTCTGGGAGTATTCAGAGGTGATTTGGGGAGTGTTCGTAATGATGTTTTTTGGAGTATTTAAAGGTAAATTGATGGTTGTTTTTTTCGGGGATGTTCAAAGTAAAGTGTTTGAGTTAGTTTTTTGTGATAATGTTGCTGAAGATGGGAATGAGGGGAGGAGTTTGGGGGGATGAGTTGTAATTTAATGATTGTGTAAGTGCAAATAAATTTAGAGCTGTCAAATCTATTTGGCGAGTATTCAAAAAATGATATTTTGGAAGTGTTCGCTGTGTTATTTGGAATATGTTTTCAAAGGTTATTTTTTGTGAGTATTCCAAATGATTTATGAGAGTGTTTTGAAGGTATTCAAGTAATGTGAGGTGTGTGTGCGTATTAACTTCGTAATATGGTAAAATTGTGACTAGTGAATTTATCGGAAAAGTGGTTATAAGTGTTGTGGTGGGACTTTCTGATGAAATAGTTAAAAACGAGAAAATTGGCAGGGTATGAGTTGAAAATTTGTTGAGTGTTGGTTGGAGTGTGAGGGTTCGGGAGGGGGGGGAAGAGGAGGAGAGAGAAGGTTACTTGTGGGGAGTGACTGAGATGAATTAGTTTAAAACGAGAAAAATGTTTCCTAGACTTTGGTGTTGTATTTTGTAAATGAAATTGTGGATTGTGTGGGTATTAACGAAAAAAAAAAAAATGTGAAAATTATTTGGATTATTGGGTTAAGTGTGAAAATGTTTTCCCTATGTTGTATATGAAAGTGTAATACTGAGATTGGGGGAAGTCGTACAAGATTCAAGCCTGTGGTGTGGGTTCATGCGTGACGTCAACTGACATAGGGGGAAGTCGACAAGATCTCAGCCTGTATGTGTGAGGTCATCATGTGACGTCATTGACCGCCGAGTAAACACAGGTGGGGTGACGTACACACTTATTAGACCTTGTAGTAAGAGTTACATGCCCCATAGGAGGAGTTCATTTGAAGCTTAACCCCAAGATGGGGGGGAATCAAAAAAAAACTTGATCCGAGGAGATGGAGGAGGAAAACCTTGCATCAGGAGATGGATGTATTGGTATTATTGAAAAAACCTTTGATCCATATGGAGATGGAAGTTTTAGTATATCCACAAAAAAAATTCAAAAAATTTGGGGGGGGGGGTGTTGAAAGTGGGGGGGAATCCCAATAAACTTGATCCGTGGAATGATGGAGTTCTTTGTGATATCGAGAACTAACTTGACCGAGCGAATTGGAGTCTTTGTATTATCGAGAAAATCTTTGATCCAAGGAGATGGAAGTTTTTGTATGATCGAGAAAAAAAAAAAATATACTTGGGATGCAAAGTGGGAGTCCATTTTGAATGGTTACCCCAGAGGGGGGGGATCAAAAAACTTGATCCAAGGAATTGGTGTCTTTGTTTTTTCGAGAAAAAATTTGATCAGAGGAATTGGAGTCTTGTTATTATCGAGAGAAATATAAAAAAAAATTGGCAGGTGCGGGTGGGTGAAAGTGGGAGGGGGGCAATCCAAAAACTTCCTGATTCGAGGAAGTGGAGAGCAAATAAAATGAAATTAAATAATAAAAATTCGAAAAAATAATCGGGAAAAAAAATTCGGGGAGCGGGGGGCGATCCAGGACGACGCTGCAGAAGGCACAGCAGAAGGCGTGGGCGGGCGTGAGGGCGGGAGGGGCGCGGGCAGGCGCGAGAGGCACGATGGCGGGTGGGTTGGCTCGAGGGCAGGGGCGGGTGGGGGGGGAAGCGAGGGCGGGGGCGGTCGGGTGGGGGGCGCGGCGGGAGAGGGGGCGCGGGTGGGGTGTCGTGGGTGCGGGGGCGCGAGGGTGGGGGGTTGAGGGTGAGGTGGTCTCGACGGGCTGTGAGGTGGTTCGGGGTGAGGTGGTTCGAGGGTGAGGTGGGTCTCGCGGGTTGAGGTGG